CATTTCAGCTCAATTTTTTAATAGAATTTTAATTTTTTAAAGATTTTTGTTTTTTTTGAGGAGTTTTTTTTTTGAAATGTCCATTTTAAATAGAATTTTCCATCCCGATGTGCACCTTTGGGAGGGAAATGAAATCGTTTATCAATGAAAATGCACTCACGACTACAGCTTTAAATAACATGTTGCTACCATTCAAAAGCTTCACGATAAATTGGTTTTATTTTATTTACATCTCTATCTTATCAGTTTTATCTTATCTGATTATCTTCAATATCGTATCACCTTTACAGTAACTCACGACCCCATTAATCCAATACCTCAACAATAATTATCGAAAACATCATCAATATAAAATGAAGTGAAAATTTTTGAACTGTTTGATAAATAGACGGATTTAGTAATTGTAATCACCTCTTGGATAATGAATTCAAACTTTTGATATCGAAATAACTGCAAAATAATGAATTTTCAAATAAATGACAGGTTGAAAACTTAAGAAACCATTGTTCTTAACAAGTTTCTCGATCTCTATGATTATATCCTTAAAATATTTCATTTGCCATCGTTTATTTCCCCTGAGTAATATTTGATTCTTTTTTAAATGACAGTTGAACCAAAATTTCCTTACTGGGCATTTTAAATTCATCTACTTCAAGAATTCAAACAACGGATCGCTCTAATCAAACAGAATTTGAGCCAAACACCTTATACTCACATTTCAAAACAAACAACAAGACAATATTGGAAGTATTGCAGCGGTATTTCCCTATTTTCAGTTGATTGTTCGCAAAGGTTCCCCGTCCTCCCCGACGAGGAGTGAAAGTGTGCGAGGGGAGTCAGCGAGAAAAAGTCAGGGAGCGAATCGCCTGTGGGGGGTCTCCGCGGGAGAAAACTGGATGGGGGGATCCCACAGAAAAGTCGGGGAGAAAATTGCGCGGGGGGGAGCGCTCCCAGCGTTCCCCGACGAACACTAGTGAGAAGTGGTGAACTGATAAGTTTTTGATTTTCGGCAAAAAAATGCGAAATTAAAGCACTCGATGTATAACTGCTCAAATTGCATACTTAATTTAATTTGAATTGATCTAATCAAATGTAATTTTTTAAGATATGAACCAATCGCAATGTCTCGATGCAAACATGAGATTAATCAGTCGTTGGTCGGAAGTAATTTGTTCAGTGAAGCGGTTATCAATCGTGAACAACACAATATTCGTACGCGCTTCGAATCGCTTTGCAGGTTGATGATTAAAATTGTTATCGCATTGTTAGGAATGATTCAAAAAGAATTGAATGATTTATAGATCAGCTGATCAAGAGATAATGGAGGGTGAATGGCACGAATGTGAAAATAAACGCAGGATACATTTTCAGGGACTTGGGTCAAATGATCAAATGTATTGAACCGGTGACGCGCACTGGTTGTGGAGAGGATGCAGCTCGAATGATGCTTAAATTTATCACGGTAGGATTTGCGAGGTAAGTTACTGAGAGCAGTATTGATGGCTTTTCATTGAGTAGATGTCAACATCTTGTTATTTTCATTTGTTGCAGTTTTGAGCAGTTGTACAGTCAGTTGGGGATCAGTGATCAGTTGCCTAATTCTTGTCGGCAGTTATTGACTTTGACGTTGTCAGGTCGCAGTACCGAACGACGCACTACATCGCAAAGGTACTTACAACTATCAACTGCAAGCACCACAACCTTTTCTCTTCTTTTACTCTTCCTTCATGGTGTATCGCTGAAACTAATCTGAGTCGCAAATTATTTCTCAGTTTCATCTCAGACTTGTATACATCCATAAATAATGGTCCAGAATCATGACTGCCCCTCAAGGATGGATGAGTTGTTTCCTATCACTCTTCATCGATTCGCTTCAGGAATGATGGCCATCCGACAGCTTTTTAGCCAACAATACCTTCAAAACGAGGGTTCTTCCATATTTTTGTTTACTTACCAACCACAACAATTGCGTTTATTGTTTTGTTTTGTGCATGTGTTTAAATATATGTATATTTAATGTCACAGCACTCGATAAAGATGGCTGCAATAGGATTTTTCGATGGCTCGTTCATCTGTTTCATATATTTCGATTGCGCCTTTTTGATAAGATCATTCTATCAGTGGCAATAATGCAGCAATAATTTTACCAGAGCCATTGCTCTACTGCAGTATTTTGCTTCTCATCTAGAAGATAGCAACAGAGAAACACAATTTACGAAAAATTTCGTCGGAATCTTTAATTACACCCGAAATTGTCGTTTCTGTATCGTTCAATTTTGTTACTGTCTTTTCTGCTATAATTAACGTTATTGTCATTGTAACCCAACAAATATCAATAATACTTGGTTAGTTTTTATGGTTCAAATGTTTACAGTCTTCTTTCACAGCTTGTTTATTGTCAGATACCAACATTTGTATATTGCCACATTATACTCATTTCTTTTCATAATTGTATGAAAAGTATTTCTGTTTGTGTTTTGTAAAACTTACATTCATAATGAACTTTTTAAGAGAGCCGTTCATTCGATCATATGGCTTACTGATTTGAAACTTTGAATATGATTATCACAACTGTTTTGTTTTTAGACTGATTTTGCAACTATCTATTCGTTTTCTATTGAGATTTCAAAGCAAAGTAAACACTGATAAATTTGATCGGTGTTTGAGAAGGAGATACAGCTCACAATTAGGGCTGCGGTTTGTTTCATACATTTCTATTATCAATTCAAAGATTTTCTTTTATCGCCTTTTCTCATGGCGTAGCAAAAAAAAAGCGTATCTTCAAGGAATTGTGTGGTCATTAAATGGAATTCTTAGCATGCTGTTGAAGACGAAACGCATCTTTAGTGCCTGTCATGTATCAGTGTTTCTCTAGACACGAATCAGGATCTTTTTGAACATCTTTATCGTAGTGAATGAGAAGTAGCATTCCAAATGAGAACTGCTAAATGTCAACAACAATCGAATTATGCTTTTATTTTCACAGTTTCATTCCAATCATCACCCACATAAATGGGCGTAGCAAAAACAAATACAGTGCAGAAATAAAATGATGGAATATGAAAGCGTGTGAAAATGCGAAATGAAAGAGAAATAAGGATAGATAACAAATAGTTTTGTAATCATATGGAAGAAGCCTGCAAAGATGAGCGATCAGAGACAGACGGATCGCAAAACTCATTATTTGGGAATAGGCGGAGAATGGTGATCGCTCACGAGAAGGTTGCCCGGAAAATATTTGAATTTTTTATCTTGAGCTGTGTTTTGCTTTTAAGTATGAGAGAAAAGTGAAAGTCTTTGAAACGTAAAAGGAGACATGCAAAAATTGTGACTGATCATCAAAGTGATTTATAAGAAGATAGAGACAGACGAATCGATTACTGATTATCGTCGTAACATTAACTTTTCAAATGTTTCGATCATCTTGTTGGGAAAGATTGAGACATTTGGGATCATATCCGGCTTAGAGACAACTTAAGCTTTGCTTGGACGGATGTAGTTGATGAGAACGACGAAGGCTGCAATTAGAACAACACCGATACCCATCATCATGGATAATCCCATTGGAGACATGCAAATGCCATCTTGAAGTGTAGGTGAAAGAACTATTGGATGACCGAATTGCTGACGAGCGCGATGACGAAGATCGACGGGTAATGCTTGGTTCTGGAATATTTTATGATTTTGATTGGTAACGAATAAAATTAGTAACACTGAGAAATAAAATGATATCAAGTGTGAATGAAATATAACCTGATCCGAGATATCCAAAGCGCTGATATCAGTGCGGACATCCAATGTGTTATCGTAATCTGCAGCACGTTTCTTCAGTAAACGAAGAGCTGGTCGTTGAGCGGGTTTGTCAGCTGCTGCCGATCGAATAGCGCCGAATCCTTGTGGTTCCGAGCATTTAGGTCGTTCGCATTCACTGTTCGGTTCCTTGATTGTGATTCTGATTTGACATTGGTAGAAGAGTTGTGATCGATCGGCATATTTGTAAATATGAGCTTCTTGACCAGCCATTAAATCAGTCGGATATTCCA